AGTCAGATCCCGCTTCCTCACGGCACACACACCTTCCACGCCGCCTGCCCCTTCTGCGCCCAGCAGCTAAGCGGCGAGCAGGGCTACGTCAGACTCATCTTCCAGGGACCCCTTGACTAACGGCGGGAACTTCCCAGCATTCTTTGGAGGTTTTATTTGGATGCTGACCCCGTATTTAACACGGGGACCTTCCCAGATCTGTTTTTTTCTGGACTTTTTGTCTCTCTCTCATTTTTAAGTGACCTTTGTATTGCTTTTTCATGAATGACGACAAAGATTTCTATATTTTCATGTGAAACCAGAGACAGAAAAACCAAACAAAGAACACTGCTGGGTCAAACCTTTTTTGCGTTTGTTTCTTGGAAAGGACTTTCAACAGTATTTATCTAAATTACTAACACACCGCAGCGCAAACCTGCGGTTTTATTCATGTTTATTGTTGCATTATACATCTGTGTACATCTCTTAGAGCTAATTTAAACAAAGATGTTTATTTATGGCCCTGGAGCATCGCTTCATCCTTTATCTGTCAGATAACTTCAATACTATTAAGCGTTTTATTTTGAAACTTCAGTATATTGTTAACCAGATATAAAGTTTTAGGTGTGTTCTGAGGGTTTTGTTCTGTCTCTCTCTGCCTTGTTCACCACTCAGATCTGTCATATTTATACACCCCGTCCTCTCACGTCGTGTGTTTAAACCCTTCAGTTATTCTTCTATCTCATTAGCCATCACCACAGCCTTTTCCCTTGCAAAGCAATAGATCTGGAACTGAAACCTCCTAAAGCATTATGGGAAACAGAGTCTTCTAGGCATCTTTGCAAATGGCCTGAATGACTGCTCCCTCCCTTTAACGTGAAATATCTTCGTGGGTAAGTGAGTGAATCTCTACGCAGCCATGTAGCTAATGTTATACTTTACACAAACACACACACACTTGCAGACACACACGCTAACCAGACCAGAGGGGTGCACTGCAAACCAAGATTAGTGGATCAGCGAGGTATCTTTATCCTCAAGTCAGACTTTAAGTCACAAAGATAGCTTTCTGTTAACCATGTCTAGATCACATGGTACGTTATGCTGGTGACATAATCTGCTCCAGACTAGTTAGGTGTAATGTTTTGAAGGAAGGAGTACCTTTTAATTATACTGGTGAAGGAAGACGTGCAAAATGTGTTGCATTGTCATTGGGAGTTCTTGCATTCAGCTGGTGATGCAGGACATGTATAAATAGTAATTTTATGCTTGACCTGAAAGCATATGGGGGGCATATATGACCTGAAACCAGCAACTGAGCCCATTAAGGTATCAGGAAAGCGTTGACTCCAATACAACCAGAAAGTGTTCTTGTAAACAGAGGAGTCGCCCCCTGCTGGCTACCTAAATGAATGCAGGCATACAGTTTTCAGCCATCTTTTACAGTGAATATGGTTAGAAGTGAATACGCTGGGCAGAGTGTATTATTGAAGAAAGCCTGGCGGCCACATTGACCTTGCTTCTCAGCACACCCCTCTGGTCATGCTTTTCATGTGTGGACAGTGTCTGGTTTATTCTGCGTGATAACTGGGATGTCTGAGGCACACCTGCACAGTCAAAGCAAGATCACTACTGTGCCAGATGAGGTACGGTTTTCTGGTCGGTATTAGTATTGAGCTCCGAATGTATTAGACGTCCTTTTGACAGCATTGCAGTTACGCCAGTATTTTAAAATCCTTTTCTTGTCACGTGCCCTACTGGAGGCTGGAAAAAAATCTACGCACTATTTGTTCAGCTACACCTAAAAGTATGCAAACCGAGGCAGTTGAAGTCATTTCAGCAGGTTTCTCCTCCTCTGGCGTGAATCGTCACAGTGCAGGAAGTCCCATCTGTCTTACGCATCGAGCGAGCAACAAAAAGCAGGAGATACAAACACATCTGCTGTGGTTTGACTCAGGTTTGACACAAGCACACACACACGCACGGCTTTAAGCTTCACAATTCTCTTTATGCACGCGTGTGCGCTCATTAGGGCTTCGTGTTAACTTGTGCTTTCCAAACAAGGTCGAGCTTCAGATATCAGGGCTGCTCTTAGTTATATTTTATGTTGATTAAAAACAAGAATGAGAGCTGTTAGGCTTAATTTATTAACTTTATAGTTAATATAGTAACTTGGAGAGCTATTATATGTACATTTCTTTCAATATAGTGCTGAGTCATTTTAAGCCTTTATGAGAGAAAATAGAAGAGTAGAGCATAAAGTGTGAGACATGAAAGGCCTCGTTTTGTAGTTTGTTTCCGATGTAGAGCTCTGATTTAAATATAATATATTATTCGATAACCTTTTACTACATATGATGAAAACTGTCTTCCACTGATGCTTTTACTTTAAATAAGGACCTAAACAACCAACTGCACTCTATTATCTTTATATTTAAATCACATAAATGCTTAAATCTGTAAACACCTTACGCCCTGGAGTTTCTTTAATGGGACTTAATCTGAGGAAAGAAGTTTTTCTCTGCTGACATCTTAGCTTCAGGATGGACGAGTTAGTCAGACTCGAGACAACCAGGTTCGAGATAAACACAGTGGAAAAACCGCACAATGATGCCTCTTTATTTTTATTAATTTTGTATTGATTCATTGGAAGCAGATAACAAACTGCTTCAGAACTTATCATAGAAACTAAATGTGAACAATAACTGCATGTTCAAACTAAGTGTAGAGCTTTTTAAGGAGAGATTTTTGTTTCAGCTCCAGTGCACGGGTTAGTTATGTATGATTAGTTATTTAATATCTGCCCACCAACCCATCTGATAGTCCTTTGACTGAAGAGTAAACGACGTTGAAACGTGACCTTAAACTTGAGATTTGATTCCTCTAATAACATCAGACTTGTACTAAACCACAAATATTTTTCATTTTTCTTGTCTAAACTTTTCTTTTTAAAAGTCGCAGCACTACAGATGCTCCAGATTAGATTCTCTTAAAGTAGCTTTGCATGAGTCACAGTTCAAAATAATCCTTATCTTTTACTGTGCCTTGGTTCCTCCCATCAGTTCGTCCTCTGCATGAAACAAGCAGTTTTATCCCTTTTTTTAAAAAAAATTTAAGCCAACTTTCTTCTGATTGGCTATGCAAACAACAGGTGGGATGTCAGCTCTGAATGACATCACACAGAGCTAAAAGTCGAAGGGGAAAAAAAAAAAATTCTGAAACTAGTTTGAAGCTCTGCCTCGAAAACAACGTAAAGCAGAGATGCAAAATAACCGAATCCAACTTCATGTGCTGAGGAAGACTGTGTGCTGTGATCAAAAGCTCAGGATGAGCTACTACAGATCATTTATCAGATGCTGTTTGAAAAGTTAATGCTGACCTTGGAGACCACTGTCCTGATATTTGGAGCTTTATGTGAAAGCACAGATTCTCCTGCTGCACACATCTGTAACATCACTGCTGTTCGCCCACACACTCAAACTGTAGAAACCTCCAGAAAACGAAGCAGCTTTACTAATCAGTCACTTCCAAACTGTTCACACAGAGCCTCAGGTCTGCGTGGACACACTCGTATCTGCAGGTAAAAGTAGTGCGTGTGAGTGAGAAGCTGTAATTTATACGTTCGTGTTGATTGTATGTGTGCAGTTTTTACGCGTGCTCATGTGTCCACACATTAAGTAGCTCTCCAGATAATGTCCATCAGTATCCTCAGAGTGCAACACACTAACTCACCTCAGGGAGAAAATACGAATATGAATCACACACACACACAGCTAAGGTCTACTGAGGATACCTCACGAGTTAGAAGTCAAATCTGGATTCAGATGTGCGTCCTGCCTCTCTAACCCAGTCTTCTGTCATGGATTAAGTGTGTGATTTTTAAGGGCTTCCCTCCGTCTCTGTACTGTTTCTCTACATGAACACAGGCCTGACCCCGCCCCCGCCCTCCACTCGCTCTTCCTCCTCTCTTGTTCGGAGTGTATTTGTGCTTGTAAAAGGCGAAAGCAATGAATGTTTCCAGCAAACACTTTTTTGTAAACGACTTTAAACAATAAAGTGTAAAAGTGACACATTTCACCGTGTGCTGGGTTTTATTTGCATCGTCAGTGCAAAGCTATTAAACAAAATGTAAGTTAACTGAAACAAAAACTACGGTTTACACAACAAGTTAATAGAAGTGAGAGGAAATGGCTCGATCAGATTTACCTGTTGATTCTACAGAAGTCTCATTTTTGTTCTGTTGACTTTGAATCAACTCTTAAATAGATAAATTTAGGTAGTCTTTCAAATTAACTGCTAAAAATTATGTCAGAGGTTTACAAGATGCTGATGAGATCTGCTAGGATGTATGGTTTGGAGATGAAAAAGACAAAAGGCACAGCTGGAGATGACAAGTGAACATATTAAGATTTTCACTGGGAGTGAGCAGGATGGACAGGATTAGAAAGAAGTACATCAGGGGGACAGCTCAGGTCGAACAGCGGGGACATGTGCAGTGGAGAGGTTCGTGGATATGTTGGACAAAGGAATACTGAAGCTGGTAGGCAGGAAGAAAGAGGGAGACCCCAGAAAAGGTTCATGGATGTAGTGAAGGATTACATGAAGAGAGTTGATATGACAGAAGAGGATGCTGGGATTGGGTGAGATGAAGGCAGATGATTTGCTGTGGCGACCTGTAAAGGAAATAACCGGAAGAAGACAGTCCAACCCTAGTTCAGGGTCAGTTGGTATCTCTTAAATACAGAGATTTTAGACGAAGTCAAGCATCTGCTTCTGCACATTTTGCTTTGTTTTATGAGTCGAGTTTATGAACTATTAATTCATACCCTGACTGCTCCATACACATGATTTCTGGTGCTTTTACACTCAGAGGCCACCAGGTGGTCATACAAATGATTAGAATGAGTAAAGGAACTGGATCAGTGTTCTGGATTTCTCTGCAAACCTTCCAGAAACATTAATAAATGTTCTGCCGACATCTCTCAAGAGTTGACTGACGGACAGATGACACAGTACACGTGTTCGGTATTTCATATTGCACTTTATTCACCTCTGAAGAGGCAGAAGCGGTCTGGGCTGAGACCTCGTCGCTGTCACAGATCAACACTTATTGCTTTCGGGCTCTCGGTCCGCACGGGTCGGACCCATCTCAAGTATACTCACACTGAAACTTTGTGTACATGTACATATGTAAATGAATATGTGTATGTGTGTGTGTGCCCCAACACTGCAGAAAACACAGCACCTCGTGTCTTTGGGTGAAGGAATAACGCTGAGTGATGGGATGGGCAGAGAAACCGGAGAAACGCTGAGGTTTCACATGACATGAAGGTGAAAACAAACCGGAAAAAAAATACACAACACTGTGATGTTCTCGTCAGCTACTCCACACAGAGACGAATAAAGGCCTTCACTTTAAAATTACATCCTGTCCCAGAAAATCTCATATCGCAGTACCCAATTATTTCTCAGCACAGACGTCGCTGCGGGCTTCGTGGGCTCCACTAATTCAGCTTAAAGCTGCTCTGTTTAATCTTCACGGCAACAACAGATCTAATGACGACTCGCGCATTTTAGATGCGGCTTGTAGTGAAAAAAAAATCAGCAGGAGAGTGCAGCAAAGGACATAAAAGTCACATTTCCATCAGAACGCTGCTCAAAATGTATTATCTTTGGGTCTTCATCCTTTGAAGCCAATAAACTGAGAGGGTACGGTGATATGACACTAGTGAAACCTGAAACTAATGAAAGCCAAGCTTCACTTGAGCCACATGCATAACAAGCCGTCGCCTTTGCCATTTATTCTCATGTTTCCAACGGTTCTGAGTGTTTTTAGACACATGCAAAACACTGACTTGTGGATGGTAATGCAGTTAAAAGTCAGTGAGAAGTCTGTATCAGCTACATCAATACTATATAAACTGGAGAGCTGGTTATATTGATGTTATTGATCGTTTTAATCAGTTGATCCGACAACATCAGACAATCTCAGAACATTTTGGTCAAAAAATGTGCCGATATGAAAAAGCTTTATACGGTTGCTTTTTTGTTTGTGGTTTTTTTTTTTACTGAGCATGAGGCATAAAAAAATGATATCATTCAGTTTCTGCAGCAGAGCAGCCTCGCCTCCATTAACAATGCTCTCAGAGCTCTCTGCGGCGTCACAGCTGAGCCGATGGTACTACAGAGGTCGGTCCATCCTCATAGTGCAGCCGACAAATTAGTACTCCCGGGACACCTTTCACAAGTGGATACAAGTACCAAAGTCTTTTGTGGTAAAGTCAATTATCCATTTAAAAGCTCATTTTCAAGAGGCTTGCCAGATGAAGTCAGCTAGACTTGATGATTTTAAATGATCTTAGTGTCAAATTACACCGAGTCCACTGAGCAGAGTCAACTTTAGAAGTCTTTTTTGTCTCATTTATAAACATTTGATTCAGAATAATTTACTAACAGGAGCGCAGGGGTGCAGGATGGACTGACAGGGTGTGCACCGAGGGTAAAAGGAGCTTTCACTGTTGTAAAATACATGAAGTGTAAATTCATTCTCATTGGATGAATATAGGCAGACACAGCTGTATTAACCACAGTACCTTTTTTTTTTTAATGGTGCTGGTAATTTGGATGCATAAGAGTCGCTAAATCAGACCAAATGTTCAATTTCTGTTGGAAAATGAATGCAGAGAATCTTATTCTGTCTCATAAAATATCAGAAAACCTTAAAAGTACCCTCAGTGTTTGTATACTGTCATAAACACCAGTGTTGTAATGTTTCAATTATAAAATATTTTAGTTAGAAACGAAGCAAAGAAGTTCTGAAGAAGCTTTTAAGCTGTATACTTGAGAATTCAACTGACTTCTCTATTTTTGGTGCTTGTATCCACTTTGTCGCCGTTACCTGCTACATTTGAGGGCAGACTGAGGGCAAGTTTGTGGAATAAACTGCTGACACGCCTGATATCTGAATTTTTTCCTCCCTAATAAAATGACATTTGCATTAGCCCTGAAAATCCAGCAGAGGTTCCTAATGACACCTCTCCAAACCAGTGCTAAGCGCTGCATTTCCACTTGGGTTTCTAAGAAATCTGATGTACCAGTAAGTCATTTTTGCACTGCTAGACATCCTTTTCTGTTGTATTGTTGAACTCAGTGGTAAATCAGGACCCTGTGCTGGGTTTACATTACACAACTCTGTGTGTTTTGCTGCGGCTAAATTGCGAAACCGTATCGAGTCCAGCAGAGACGTCTTTGTGCTTGAAATAAGAGGTCAAAACCTTCCCGTAATGCCCATGACTTCATCTTTGTGATTGCATTAGCAGTGCAAAAAACCCCAAATCTAATTTGTTCTCCAAACTGTACTCCCACTAGTGTCCCTAATAATATGTGAGTATATCAGTATATTATCCCTACCTATTTAGAATATATTATTTTTTATTTTCTGGCCAACAAAAGTCAAAATCAATATAGAAGAAAAGAAAACAAAGGGTGAGTTGTTTTCTCCCTAATCTGGATAAAAGTGTTTAAAAGTGGTCGCTAAGATTAGTTCATTAGTAATACTTTTAAAGGTTATGTGATGAACAGCCTGCAGAGGGCAGTATATCCCAGCTGCTTCCAACCATCAAAGCAGGCGAACTGCTTCTTAATGCTGAGACTGCAGGGTAGCACTGCACATGCAATCACACTCAGCCTCCAGGGGAAAAAGTCATATCCTCTCACAATCTCTTGATGTCGTGTCAACATGTCAAATGGGTCACATGACAGGGATTACGGGGGACTACGTCACACGATGAGGGTGAAGAAGGCCTCAGTGGTCCAGGATGCGGAGGTTGCCGGATACGATTTTGTTTTCCAGCATGGAGCCAGCCGGAATATCGATCCGATCTCCGTGGTTGGCGATGATGATGACGGTGCCCTGTAGAGACAGAAATGATGACAGGACTGAATTTAATTAAAGCCGTAAATCAAAAACAGAAGCACGCAGGTTCAAAGTCTGAAATTAATGTCTTCAATTCTCTCTGCACTTCTTCTCCACCACATTACTAAAACAGCAAGTTTCTTTTACTGTCGGCGAGCTTTCTGGATTTATTACGCTCAACGTCGTTATATTCAGAGTAAATTAAATAGCTGTAACACGTTTTGTGGCCATGAAAACAACTGTAGCTCACATGCTGGCATTATGGAACAAAAGAAAACAAGGTTTCCTCGTCTTAAAAAACGAATCTGACTGCAGAGCTTTACCTTAAGCGACACGTTTTTCCCAAAGGTGACGTCTCCGGACACCGTCAGATGGTCGAGCTCCAGCATGTCGGGAATGCTCTCGAAGCGGATCAAGTATTCCTGAACCTGAGCGCAGACACAGAGAAAAGTAAGTCATCTGTATGTGAGCTTTTCAACCCCACAGATCCTTTGGCAAATTAAATTACTGACTAAATACCGTCACTGAGAATCAGAAATTTGGGGGCATCAGTGGTGTAACCTCTGAGGATCAGGAGATTACTCAGAAACCTTCTTGGAAGAATTTATTTATTTTACACCCAACTTTAGCATCCCATTTAACATCACAATGGTCATAACAAATCTCTAATGAAGTATTTAATCAACATTTAATCAGTGGCTTTGAAAAGGTTCGGCACTTTTTATTATCATCACAGCCACACGTGAGATCAACAGGCTGCACACGCAGTGACAGATGTTCCGATGTTTCCACAGCTGGTGTGATTACCTTGGTGAAGGAGCTGCCCAGTTTGACGTGCGGCGTTGTCGGGAACTCTCTCTTCGGGCTCATGTTGAGCGAGCCGGCATCCAGGCTGTACAGGTTGGACATGACCAGAAGCAGGTCCGACGTAGTCTTGACCGGCAGGAAGCGGCTGCGGGGAACGTTTATTCCCAGGGCGTTGTCGAAGCATTTGATGGCCGCACCCACCGCAGTCTCCAGCTGGATGACGTTCTGCCCGCCGTCGAGCGTCTGATGAACAGGAGAGGGGAGAGGACACGTTAGCTGTTTTTCTTTTCCTGCTTATTTCCAACAATGTGAAGAAAAATGAGACGTAGCACAGCGCTAACACCCCGTTAAAGTCTGAATCACGTTGTTCCCTACCCAACGTGTTTTTTTTAATAAAAACAAAAGTGCACGTTTGTGCCCCTAACTGTACAGTCTTTACTATAAAACTACATTTAAATTATGCAGCAACTCCCAACAGGGAAGCTTCTTCACCCAAATTAAATAAACAAGAGTCGAACTGTGATTTAAGCCAATGGCGGTTCAGATGTCAGTGGTGACATCTCCTTCCATTACTTATTTTATTATTTTTCCATTACTAAACACTCCACCTGTACAACTAATAATATTACCCTGCAGATCATCTGTACTTTGCGCTGTTGTGGTTTAGAGGCACTTAAGATAAAATGAATGTCCACTAATTAGGATTAAACACACAGTTCTGCAGTGTGCAGGCCTCTAACTGAAACTGAACCCTCAAACTGAGTGGTTTTAGTGCTGTACTCTTATCTAGATGGGACCTACACTTATGTAAAACCACACAGCACCTGCAAAGTTATGTCCAGTTTGCATAACACTTGCAATCCTGCACATGAGGAGTGGAAAATTTCATCTGTACCTATCGGGCCAAGACAGCAATAATCAGGGAGGAGGCTGCGGTTCAGCTGTGAATTTATTACACTGGCTGCAGTTTTGGACGGCCTGAGGCGATACTTCCCCCCATCAGGGGGGCCAGAGGCCCGCAGTGCCAGTGAGTGAGCAGGACCGAAATAACACAAAGTCACAGCAAGTTACATTTGTTTGCTGTGCTGCTTTAAATCAGGATTGCTCTCAACAAGGACTCTGCAGGGCATTAAAGAACAAAGATATGTGGGAAATAAGTCACATTTAGACAAATTAGGTACAAGATTAAATTCACTGATTAAGCATTTACTCAAACATTTGCTTCATCAGTCAAGTGTTCCTTTTTTCTTCTGACTTACCATGACCTGTGCAAACCTCACTGAACGAGGGAGGAACCCGTTATTGTGTTAGTGTTGTCAAAAGAGGGCAAATATAAGCTACAAATCCAATCATCTAAGCATCTAAGAAGGGCCAGACACATCTCTGAGGTCCTCTCAGGCCTTTGCTGCGTCTTTCCCATTTCTCAAGAACAGGATTTTCAGATACTGTTTGTCTGCTGCCATCTACTCTTTTGTCTTCCACTTGTTCAGTTCCTCCACATTTAAAGACACTACAGTTTTTGGCAAATAGCTCTTGAGGAATCACCTTTTATTGCAAACATACTACCATTTTGTGCCTGTCAAACAGTTTGGCAATTTTTGTAAATTCAACTTAACAAAGATGTGCTTTTACGACAGGCTGCTAGTAACAAAAGGGCTAAAGATAGAATTTAAAATTGGTTTACTGCTAAGTTGCCTGTTGTGCATAGATGATACTGCTTCATCTCTTGAGTTAGGTGCTTGAATGATTCATATTTCAGTGTTAAGTAAGTTAACAAACAAAAACATCCATCTATAAATGGTCCGGCGCAAGGACAGGACTGAAAGTGAGTGAAAAAGCTTCTGCTCACAGAAGTTTTGAAAGACCTTTAGAAACCCTGAAGAACTATTGCTTCAGACCACTTTAAAAAAAACAACAACAACAACAACAACAAAAACCATCACACCACAGTGTAATGTAAAAAAAGGAAAGAAGACTTTTTCTTAGTACTGTATGTTTTGTTAGCCAGGAGGTTTCTTGGGATCACATTTGTCTGAAGTTGACCAATAACCTAAACTGACTTTGTCACCCCTGGTTTTTTTTTATGCCTGCCTGGCTCTCTTCAAAGACCTGGTAAGGGTGTAAGAGTTATTTTTGGGGGTTGAAGTTACAGTTAAGTTATAATTATGCTAACAATATTGAGAATGCATTTATGCTGGTCAAGGCCATCGGGAATGTATAAGCGTCTTCCCAGGAGATGCCAAATGACTCTTCTGCAGCCTCCTCTCATCAACACATGAGCCTAACATGAAGTGCTTTTTTAAAATTATTAATTTTGATCTTTTGACAGTTTTTTAAGGTTGATTCTCCATTAACAGCTTTACATGTGGCACCTGATTAATAACCTGGATTATTTTTTTTATTTATATAATTAATATATATATATATATATATATATATATAGATATATAGATATATATATATATCAGCAACTTCAAAAAATTAGAAAAACAAAAACAGTTTACTATAAATTATGTCTAGCAGCCAAACTGCAGTACTTTGACTGCCCACCAGGGGGCTGCAGCCCACACAGGAAGTTGCTCAAAGAGAGGAACTTGTACCGGAAAAAAAAGGACATATCCAAATTAGGATAGGTGGATGCTGGATGCCTTTCCAAGTCCAGAGCAATACATGTGTGTAAGAGGAGGAAGCGCAGAACATTCTGTGGGGATTATATCTTTTTAATATCATGTTTATTCTCTTATATCCTTTTTATTAAGCTTTGAGTAGTTGATTAAAACATTTATTCAATCTATTACACATATTGCAAATGTCTGTCTGGTAAGAGGTTATAAGCTTTAGTTGGCGAGGTGAGAGTTGAGAGAGTGCACTGAGGTCGAGACACCCACAGTTTGCCCACACACACACACACACACACACACACACACACACACTATATAGACTCATTTCTAGGTAAGAGTTCAGACATATTTTGCTTGTAACTGCATTTTGTGCCTGCATAAGTGACAGTTTTTGTAGGATGCGTTTCTGATGTTCCAAAGATAAGCGAGAGTAAGAAGACCAACAGGAAGCACCTGGCGTGGAGCTGTGGTTACTGTAACTTATGCATGTTATGTATCTGCTTTGACGCATGAGGGGGCGTTATACCCTGACACATGCTGAGGATTGTGATGATGCATTTCCTCCACACATGTGTTTAATAAAATCATTGTTTTGACGCACTTGGACCAGCAGTCGTTTGTCTCTCACCTCAATCACGAATCGGGACAGTTCACATCACATGCAGCTGAAAGTTTAGTCCAAGCACAGCAGATGAGCTGGATTGTTTTGTGTGGAAAATTGTCATGTGACATGTGGGAATGAAGCTGTGCAGGATGGCAGAAACATGAAGCGGAGATGAGAGAAGCTTTAAAATATGGGTGTCCTCAGCAAGCGTTTTGTTAGATATGATTTATTCATGAGTGATGGTCTGTGTGGGGGAAGAGCAGATCTGTCCCTGCTCCACTTTACATGGTTAAACCGGACAGATGATGATATTCTGGGAGGTTGGCTGGTCACTGAAACGAAACAGTTTCTTCTGCACACTCAGCCGCCCTCGTGTGAACCCTCTTTGAAATTTCCAGAGGGCTTGAACGAGAAGATTTATGACTCATTTCTCTTTGATGCCCTTTGCAATTTATTTAAAGTGAAGCATGGAGGAGAAACAGGCTAAGCAGAGTTCAGTTAGTTAGTTAGTTTTCCTTTAACTACACTTGTCAGTGTACTGTGAGCCACAAATAAATCACAGTTTGGACTCTTTGGAAACAGTGAAATGTGCAACGTTAACATGAAATCAGTGGGCTCTTCTCATTTCTCCCAGTTTTAACTTACATCTTCTCCTGCATTTCATCCCGAAATCAATCGCAGCGTAGCTTTTAAAGGATATAACAATTTCTAAAATGCATGTGGTGACAAGAGCAGGCTTGCTGGAAGAGCGATGACATTATAGCAGTGTACAGAATGAAAGGAATCAAGGATGACAAACAGAAGTTCACTTATCATCTGCACCATTCAAAGAACCGCTAACAGTTCCTGGTTAAACGAATACCGTAAATGTCGGGCTATAAGCCGCTACTTTTTGCACAAGCTTTGAACCCTGCGGCTTTTAGTCAGGTGCGGCTTTTCTATGGATTGTCCGTGATTTTGTCATATCGTAAGACGATTGTTTGTGTGTTCCGCTGTTGTACGCACTACGTTGCCTGGCGGAAGGATCGGGGTTCAAGAGTGGTATGTTAGTCACATGTCCGCCGCCAGGCAACGTAGTGCCGTACGAAGTAGCGCGAAAAACAAACTTCAAAGTAGCGCTACGCGTTCAGCGGGAGTCGTGGATGATGAGCGGCGATAAACTTGCAAGTTATGCCAAAAAGCAAGTTATGCCCACTCCACCGGTGGATTCTGACAGCGTGGAAAAGTGTAAAACATCCACGATCACCACGGATTTTGAAGGCTGGACTGCTGCATGATGGAGAGGAGACCACCTGCCACGGCCCTTCTGAGGGTGTCGACTCTGACACTGACAATGAGGATTTCTTTGGTTTTGAAAGTGACAACGAAGGAGAGAAGAAGAGTGGATGACGAAGCCATCATGAGCCTGTTTGTATCCGACACTGGAGAAGAGGACTTTGGTGGTTTTAGTGCGTAGGAAGAAGAGAAAGATGGTGGTGAATGACTGACTTTCTTCTTGTTAAAGCCGTGTCACTGCACCTGAGCCTAAAAGGTAGTCTGAATCTATTGTTCTGGTGTGCTGTAGGTTATTGTTATGTACTACATGTGCAAATATGTACCCATAACTTGTTTTTCAAAATATTAATAAAAGTGATGTCTCCAAACAGCCATCTTTCCTGACAATTCCCTTTGCATATTCTCTTACATATGATAAGTCAACATTGAAACACCTGCGGCTTTTGGTCAGGTGCGGCTAATGTATGTACAAAACAGGATTTTCCCCTGATTTTAGCTTGTGCGGCTAATATTTAGGTGCGCTTTGTAGTCCGGGAAATACGGTACCTTAATTTGATAATAAAGAACTGTTTTTGTTCCCAGTGTTCTCTAAAAACATTTATGTTTTTTTGTTATGGAGCAAACGGATTCTAAAAATCTTCCAAGGAGAGAAAAATCAATCTAAAATGCAGCAAAGCTTTTAAAGTGCCACCTGAGGTATGAGTCCCAGTTGTGTCGCAGCTGCTGCTGGTGGGTGAATTATTACCTCTGAATGAGGACCAAATCCTTTGCTAACTATCCTCAACTCATCTCAATCGACAGAGAATATTAAAGCAAGAAAAATGCTTTCATTTTCTGTCATCTGCACACTGTTGCGGTGGCAGAAGCTCATATTAAAGACAGTTTTGAACAATGAGGTCAATGCAGGGTTTGTGAAAGTATCTGCGGGATATTAAACATGCGAAATATGTCACTGTATCATAGAAATGTGGGCGAATGCCATACAGAATGGCATGCAGGTTACAAAGATTATTACAGAGATTATTCATTTTTAACTTTTACTTTCACTGAATGTTGAATTACTCCACGCTGCACGTGCAGTAAGCCATGTGCCTTATGTTTGGCTCCTCTTCACTCACCTTAGGGTTGACTATGATCTCCATGTCCATTGCATTCTGCTCCTGCAGCCTCTTGATAGCAGGTAGAGAGATCCACAGGTTGTTGGTGTTGAAGATTTTGAACTTTGAAACTGATTTGAATTCGTCCACGTGCGCTTTGGGCACCTGGGCGATCTCCAACAGGCGCAGCTTCCCTTCATACTGGATCAGCGTGCCTCCCTGGAAATCACAAGCAGCATTTTTACAGAACACTCGCTGACCTGAGAGATTAAGCCAAAGTCTGGGAAATTAAAAGTGGTTTGTTAGGTTTGCAAAAAATAATGGTTACACTGAAATGCCAGCCAATAACCACCTGCAGGAAATGCAAACCTCCAAAGTGTAACCCAGTAACAGTGAAAGTTCACAAGGTTATAATAACTACAACTAATTCAGACACATATATTGATCTTAATAATACAAAGATTACATAGATTTAACCACAGAAAAATTAAAGGTTCTGTTCACTTAAATTAAAAAAACAAACAAACAAAAAAAACTGTGCTACTTTGATGAAGCTGTTCGAGTTTGGGGCAATTCTTTATCAGTGAAAAGTAAAGGGTACAAATTCCATTCACATTCATTGTATTGAGACATTAGTAGAAACATTAGAGACAGAAATGATGTCAAGGCTTATTGCAAACAGAGGAAAGTAAGAAACCACAAAAACGTCTTTACTTTGGTTACATTACCACAAAAATAGTTTATGTCCTTGTTAATGCAACGGGGATAAATCAGAATCTCACATCCACAATAACCTTCATCATACCTTCACGTCAGCGCGGGTCTTATCCGTCACCTCCATGACGAACTCGCAGCGTTTGCCGTTAGGCTGGCTGACCAGGTGGTGCAGGATGTGGAGGTCGACGGTGGCTCCCAGATTGTCGATGTTGGACACGAAGATGTACTCTTTGCCCTGCTCAATCAGCTGATCCAACAGGCCCGAGTTGTAGAAGCTGGCGTAAATGTCGCCGTGACCGGGAGGGTACCAACCCTCTGCGTTTTGCCCGGTCATTCTCAAGTTTGTGGACACGGGAAGGAGAGACTCTTTGTTGATGCGAGGGTACCTTGATGAAGAAAAAGAGTTCACGATAAGATCGGGGGTTATTTAACGACCCGTTCCGGCTCAGTTTTTTTTATCGTCCTTCATTTTTTTCCAGTCCCATCCAGTGGGCTGGATTGGAGTCTTTGACAGGCCAATTATGGCCCCCAGCCCTCATGTTTTAGACCAAACTGTGTACAAATATCAAATAATAAGGAGTACAAGATTCAGAAGGATGTACAAGACACAATACAATGACCCCGAGGTAAGACCGTCAATGTAGATATCGCTAACATCTCGACATGTACATGTGAAATGACCTAAACTGTGGTGCATGCTATGGCGCCATGTATGTGCTACTGGCTTCATGTAATGTTGTTAAAACCTTCAAATCAACTTCCAGTTAACAGCTATCATTTTGACACACTGGAGCAGATCCAGCACATATTGCACACATGCAGGGAGTAGGAAGAGGAGCCTGTAGGGATGGATCTAAAAATAGAAGTATTCTTGGAAGTGTTTCAGAGGTGCACAACGAAATGTCCTTCAACAGGAGAAAAATCAGAAAAGGTTGACTATATAAAGCACATCCTTCTCTTCTGTTTATGTGGTTAAAGTCTATCTCCTTATGCAACTTATAATATGTATGGAAGGAAGAAAACAAGCTTGTTGACTCATTTATCTGTGGAGCTGCAGAGCTGTGAATCTCAGACTTAAGCAGACAAACACCACAAAGACAAAACAAAAAGTGTGAAATCATTTTTGCTCCACATTTGACGTAAATCCTCGGAAACTCTGCACCAAGCCAGCATGCCAAGTGCTATCTAAATTTCTCCTTTTCATATCACTGCCCAGACTTCAAACTGCTCCCTCGACAAGCAAACTTTTTAGCTTTTTCCAAGAAGAAGGCAGCGAAGGCAACACGCCAAAGAGTCCAAGCCATGATGGCAGTGTGCATTAAAGTGATCAAAGGGCTTGTTCGAAGGATCTGAGTCAGGTTTAGTTAACAAACCTCAAGGTGAGGAGCCCGGTGAGCATGAGCCGCCTGTGTTTTTAGCACTTTGAGGAAGCTTATGAGAGCAGAGCTGGTCAGGTGAGACGAGCTGCAGGGTTGGGGTACCACGGCCCTTTTAATGGAAGATTAATTCTATCTGACTGTTCTGGGAAGATGTTTATGATAAGACTTTCTGATGAAAGTTCACACACTTCAAAAGGTTTCATGTCATCTTAAAACCAAATCTGGGAACATTTGATTACTTCCACAAAAAATGTTCCTTCTTTCTTGGACATGTGCTGCCTCAGAGGGAAGCGTCTTTCAGGGTACAAAGACATGGACAAGGAAAGAAGTCACTTCATGTATTCAACCATCTCATTGGGCAGTTTGTCCTTTCTGACTTCTCTCCTGAGGGATACGCTGAACGTTTATGGGTTTAACACCCGGAATAAATTTGTTATGTGGCTAAAGAGAAAAAAAATGTGAAACCTAACCTGCATTTTTACATCAGCTTGACGACTCCTCTGGTTTCTGGTGCTCAGGCACGATTAAACCAGACATTCAAGAGGTACTCACGCTGTCTAGGAAAACTACATCTAACAAATCCAATGTTTACATGACAGCTGATTTTGTCTTCCTGAAGACAATGAAGAAGGAATGATCATGGAAAGAAAAACCTAGAGCTTTGTTCAAAGGGACACCCAGTTATTATTTTAAGGCTTAATAGGAGCTTTAGTAAAAGTAAAGAAAACCATGGACCAACACACACAGTTAAAATCCCTACTGCTTTGGGGAAGTGGACAGATTTCTTTTTTAAGAATTCAGTTTCACTTCAAAGTAAGTGGATTAGATGCCCTATATGGATAAAATAGCTACGCATGCCATGAATCTCGTGAAACGTGGTTTCTGTGCTGATGTTAATGTCAGAGGAGATCTGGAACTCAGTTATTCATTCAGCTGTGACTTTCACATGTGTGCCATAACTTTACGTGGTCTGCCGCTGAGTTGCTGCTGTTCCTAAACGTGCCCACTTTGCAGTAATGCCACTTACAGCACTAACAGTTGATTGTGAAATATCTACGAGGGAAGAAATTTCACAACTGACTTGTAGCAACAAATGCATCCTGTTACAGCACCACGCTCTGATTCGATGAATTCTTTAGAACAACCGATATTTCTGAAGACGGCCTGCATGGCTAGGTGCTTGAACTTATACAGATAGTGCAATGCAACTGCAAGAAAACAGAATTCAAACTGTTTATCACTCTTACCAATTTGAGTTTTATTAAACATGAGACAACCTTATTTAGCCTGAAAGTGAAACTCTTGAGGTAAAGAATCTCTTTTTCTGGCTGACACAGGCACCATTAACCTGGCAACGCAACTCCCAGACAAAAGCCGTACACTCTGGGAGAACAGAAACTCCACACTAAAGGGCGCTACCCTGTTCTGTACCCTGCACCTTCTTGTTGCAGGGCAACAGTGCTAACCATTGATCTAAAATGTGATTTAAAATGTAAAAATGTAAAAAAATAAAAAAGAAAAAAGAAAGCTAATTTGTTACTAGTATCCAAGCTAGTGAGCAACTAGTGCATGGTGAATGTAGGTACGTTAGTATGCACAGCACATTTCTGAGAATGCATTTTACAAAGCTTTAACACAAGTGGCAGAACAGGCTAGCTGTACGTCTCAAGGTATGCATTTAGAGCAAACCTGATTTTCCAGCTCTGTGCATGACATGGATTCAGTTAAATACTGTATAACAGGGGTGTCGAACTCCAGGCCTCGAGGGCCGGTGTCCTGTGCGTTTTAGATATCACTCTGGGTCAACACACCTGAATCAAATCACTAGTTCATTACCAGGCTTCTGGAGAACTTCAAGACATGTTGAGGAGGTCATTTAGCCATTTAAATCAGCTGTGTTGGATCAAGGACACATCTAAAACCTGCAGGACACCGGCCCTCGAGGCCTGGAGTTCGACACCTGTGCTGTATAAGAAGAGGAACTGGGATAGAGGTCAGCTGCAAACCAGTTCTTATAGGAAGCAGTTACTATATGCGGGCTAACGCACCTTCAGTGAAACCTCGTACCCTAGATGAGGTTTATCAGTTGCATGTGTAGAACAGTATCAGCTGGGCCATCAGCTGACTCCATGCTCGAGTCTAAAGCTTTATTTAAGTGACTATAAGAAGTTCTGGGTTTGTTGGGTATATAAAGCAAACAGTTTTTTCCCTTCATTAAGTGTAACACCAGATAACGCGACTCTGAAGCTGAATTTAAATCTCTTTTTATGAATTACTGTCACGCCCTAGGTCACAGACTTTCCTTTGTTCTCCTGTTGATTGACATTTAAACCATTCAACCACTTTTTCCTCTGCTGACATTAAATCCTCCAGCTTCCGTCCCAAAGTGCTTTGTAGTGTAACTCCTTGAGGTACACAAAACATACAAGCTTTAAATAATTCAAGCGAAATGGTAAAAAGCAAGTTCCACTCCCTGACAAACTGGAGACACCAGGGCGTTAAATATTAAAAGCCTTTTCCATACATTGCATGACACCTCCTGTCTGTTCTTGACAGTCTGAGCTCAGAAGCCGGAGCGTCACTCAGGAGTTCGTTTTAGGGGAAAATGAGTTCATTCAGGAGATTTAATACTGCTAACTTCTTAAAACAAATTGAGATTTCTGTGTATTTGTCTTACACAATTCAATATTCCTTTAATATTTGACAGAAAAATGGACTCTTATTCCCTTTGGCACTGGTTCATATACAGCATATCTAACTGTGTCAGGGAGTGTTTGCTGGGCTCACTGTTACTCAATAGGACATTGTTTTACGATCGTGCTCCCTCACCTGCTTTGGTTAAAGGTGTGTATCTTGACCCGGTGGTGTGTGTACTTCTGCAGGATTTTCTTTGTGTCTTCATCTGTGTTGAAAGAGTTCATGAGGACCAGAGGTACGTCTGTGTTGTAAGTCTTGTTCAGGTGCTGTAGGGTGAAAAAACAAAGTATATAAATGCATTTATCCATATTTATCCAATAAAGAAAAAAGAGAAGTAGGCAGTAGACGGTCATCAAGTGTTTCTTAACAGTGTAAGGGCTCAACAGTGTTATAATCAGAGATGATGCTAACTCTCAAGGACCAACTCACATAGTAAAGATGCCTTTTAATTCAGGAAAATTGGTGGAAATGAACAAATATTTTTTGGATTCACCAAAACCGGCTGACTGGAGAGCTAATAATGGGTCTGAAGGAGGACTTTTGTGAAGGCAATGAAACACTCAAAGCATCTTTGCAGAAATTGATGGTCAGGTTGGGCCGTTTACCTCATCAACAACCAAACAACTTTGTGCTCTTGTGCAAGTAATGTGACCTGATCTGACACAGATAACGTTTTAAAAAGGAAACAACATAGACAAATAAATGAAAATCTCTATGCCACACTTCCGCATTCCATCCATTTATGTAAAGTATCCATCAAAACAAACCGGGAGCCAAATTTGGCGAGTCTGCCTTGTAGTGAGTGACACTGTTAGACACTTCTGCCACTGCCTTTTAAAGGCACGGTGAGCGTGCACTTGCTGGTACAACCCTCTCTTAGATGCTGTAGATCAGGGGTGCCCAATCCCGGTCCTCGAGAGCTACAGTCCTGCAGCTTTTAGATGCATCCTTGTTCCCACACACCCGAATCAAATGAATGGCTTGTTATCAGGCCTTTGCCAAACATGATGGCATGCTGAAGAGGTAATCAAACCATTTGATTCAGCTGTGTTGAAGTAGGGATGCATCTAAAAGCTGCAGGATAGTAGCTCTCGAGGACTGGGATTGGGCAGCCCTGCTGTAGATGCTTCAGTAGCGACACGACAGTTAACACAGTTTTACACAAAACTTTATGATCAATCTTTGCACATGTTTGAGGTTCTGATGCATTTGCAAGTTGTCAGAACAGGGGTCACACCAAATGTGAGACAACACCTGGAAGTGGTCAAGAGGTGCATAGAGCAACAGGCTTAAAGGAAAGATCAGCCAATCTTAAAACAGCTTTTCTCTGTGTTTTTAAGTCTGGATTTGAGGAAAGCACTTTGTATTCAAATTACTTTAAATTTAACTGCATATAAAACTTTTTCGCCACTGTTTTCAAGTCTGTGTTTAAATAGCTCTTCAAGTGTCGTTGTGACATTTGGAATTTGAAAATTCAACATTGCAAAAACATTTTGAATTTTCAGATCATCATAAGACAAAAGGAAAACTGGCCCACTCGCCTTCGTTTTCAACCAATAACTCTGTACCTTGACTGTGCGATTTGAATGAATACAAAGGATGTAAATTACACCCGAGTAGAATGGGAAGCAGTTTCTTTACTGCAATAACAGAAAATTAAAATGAGTAGAGGAGGCGGAGGATGAGACGCGGGCTGTGAATCAGTGGGGCTAAGATGATGTGAGGAATCAAATTTACTGCCTGTGACAGTTACAACGAACGAGTGGGCTTTTCTAAGCTAAAGTATGAACGTCATGTTTCCATTTATTAACCAGGATGGGTGTTGGCTGGTCATGAACTTCACACAGCTTCTAACGCACACAGATGTCTTGTTTCTGAGTTGTATAGATGGGTAAACTCCCTGTGTTTAACTTTGATACACCTTTAAATGTTACAATGATACATTAAATACACCTTTAAATGATGTGCCCTTCCTACTTATCACACACAAAGTGATTTTCTTTTCAGTATTTTGTCAGTGGGATCTGTTTCTAATTAATGCATCATCTATATATTTATAAAAATCTTCAGGAAAATGAATTGAAATTGATTTAACAGCTGAGTACAACAGTATTCTCATTAAACTCATCCCAATCTTTTAATTTAACATTTTCCTTATATGCAGTGGTCTATGCAAAGGTTAAATTACATCATGGTTTTTTATCAACACTGTCTGGAACCGGATTTCTGTGAGCAAATAATAAATCTCCACTTATGTGTATTAGACACAGGCTCCATTGAATCCTCAAAGCAAAAGAGATTGTGGTTGTCCTGCACCCCTCCCCAGAGGGACAATCAACACTAGAAATATGAACCATATGAGCCTAGCGTTGTGGTACTAGCAGTGAGATTCTATTGTTACTGTAGCAAAGAAGCTTTTCTTGACTAAGTGTAGCCACAACTTTCATGGGTTTTGTTCAGTACTTGCATGAGATGAGCACATGAGCTGGTATTTATGAAGCCCTTTTCCACTCTTAGTGAGCACTCAAACCAATTCTACTACAAGCCACGTTTACAGTCATGTAATGCTTTATTCTACACACAATAAGCACTTTTTGGATCAATCCCACTCTGATGGATGTATCAAGGGAAACTTGAGGTTCAGTGTCTTGCCAAAGGAAGCTTCGATATTTTCACTGCAGGAGCCAGAAATCAATTAGTGGATGACCCGCTCTACCTCCAGAGCTGCTGTAGATATGCTGATCGTGTGTGTATTTGTTAACAAAGCCCTAATTGTTGTGAAATTGCATTATTATAACCTTTATTTCACCAGGACGTCTTCTACAAGAGAGACCTGACCCAGGCAGTAACTTTACAGGTTTACCCTCTTTCACACATCTTTAACTGAACTTGCTAACTTAACAAATCTGCTCTTGAGGGAGGCACTCAGGTGAAAGCTGTAAATCTTCAGCAGCCAGGCGGCGCCTGAGTCGGAGCTTTGTCCGACCTTGTTACGTCCGCTCTCAGTGAGAGGGTACATGCTTCAGCTCTAAATTAAACATGCATGATTCAGCGGGGTGGCTGAGAGGTGCGTTCTCCTGCAGGAGGGCCTGGTTAAGGGGGTCTGTGTGTGCGTGTGTGGGGGGGGGTATCCATTTTTCCCCCTTCTCAATAGGTCGATTCAGTCAGCATGTAATCTGACCAGACTGAGCAGAAAATGGAGAGCAGTGCCTCTGACACAGAGAGCAGTGTGCTGGGAGAAGAGGAGTGTCCCTGGAGGCTGTTATGAAACACTGAAACACTCCGGTAACGTACAGCTCCCAATTAAACTCAGTTATACAACACAATGAAAGACTTTAATATTACTCACAGTAGATTCCCTTACAATGGTCACAACTAACGCAAACCTTGTTTAGAAAATAACTTTTCTTCCTACATCCCCCTCAAAGGCCGTTTGAACATGTGGTTTACTGTTTATTAAAATTACTGAATGATTAAGTGCTGCAGAAATAATGCAGGATCGGATCCAAATAATCACACCAACTCCTCTCCTCCAGCACACAGACATCTCTGTTTCCCGGCCAGTCGCCAGCACTGGCCGGCACCCTGAGATTTCACACTGAACCCCTTTCAGAAGCCCCTCAGCTCTGGTTCACAGAAGCACATGGCTGCATGAAGTCAGGCTTGTCTCTGGAGGATGATACGCATGCAGTGTAAGACTGGAAAAAGGCAGAGGTAAATCCAAACCCACCCCCATGAATCATTGGATTTTTTTGCCGTGCTCTATAGTAAAGTAAGAAACATCAAGACAACACAAACCCTCAATACACAGAGCAAATGTTTATATTACATCAGGCTACACATCACTTCCTACTCTGTCTACTCTGATGTCTGAGCCACATCATGAGTGCTGGTGTGGCTGCAGACAAGAAGGCAACACCCAGCTGTTCTCAAATCAGTGCCACACTAACAATTTCATATGAAAGAAGGAGCTCTCAGTAATTATCCACACTGATGGACTGAATCTGCAACTTTAGTAAGAAAGTTTTAAAATAACCAGTGTTGTCAAAAGTGTTCCTTCTGCCTCAACTGAACCACCATTTAATACCAAATTACATTTCTATGAATAGGTTCTTGTGCCTGAAAGTCACAACTGAGGTTTGACTTCAGGCTTTCCAGGAATACACATTGTTGCAACACTATTGTTACCGGTGTCAGGGCTGCCGTACAGCAAAATATTGCATTACTACAATGAGGGGCGGTCCTGGTAGATTTTCACTTCACAAAATAATAATTAAAATTGAACAAAATTGAACAAAAATCATCACTTTTAAATTTTACTAGCTGTTAGTGGGAATTATTATCATCTTCTTCATCTTATTTAAATGTTGATCTTTCAGTAATCTCAGCATTTTACGTGCTTCTGCACAGCAAACAAACAAATCAAATATTACACATCCACAAGGAAAATGTTAGTTAGTTCTTATTGTAAGACAACCTTAGTCTGCTATCACTTTACTGTTAAATGGTATTACATTGGCAATTAGCCTACATGCAATCCGTTTGTGAGGTAGTGTGGCTTCGTTGCTTGCTTATAAAAACACGTCTCACAAAATTTCTTTCATTCAAGGCTTTTAGAGTGGAGCTTTTAAGAGCTTTTGTACCTCTATCTGCTGCACAGTGAGGTCCAGGAAGGTGTTCTCGTTACGGACGCTGATCAGGCTCTTGGGGCCCTTACATCCCATGCTGGTACCCAGGCCTCCATTCAGCTTCACCACCACCAGTTTGTTCAAGCTGTTGGCCACGTTGTCCGGCAGGCCTCGAGCGGCAATCTTATCATACGGCTGAATCTGGAGGAGAGAAAGGAGATGGCTGCGGGTCAGGAAAAAAAAAGCAAACAAACAAAAATAAAGCAAATAAATTCTTTTAATTCTGATTCTGAAAGTGCTTACAACTGCACAGCCTCTGCATCCCACTTCTCACAGATCACCTGTGACTGACCTACCTTTCTCGTTCTTTTACATTTTTCGGCTTTTGCAAGCAAACTGATAGTCTTAAGTTCTTTACAGAAGCAAAACAGAGACATTAACAGCTTTGAGCGTGGGCGGACTAATTACTAGCTGAGCAATGAAACGGGCTGACGCGATACAGAAATGTGAAAATGTCAGAAATTGTTAACTTGATCTGCAGCAAACAGACATTCTGCAACTGCTTCTCGAGCGAATGGTGCAGAAAATAGTCATTAACAAGGCTTGATACACGACACAGCAAGTTTATACATACAGTACACAGCAGTTCTGTTGATTTATTGGAGTATGGTGTGTAAATGTACATTAGAGGATCAGCAATGCAGCTCTCACATCAGCATATCTACCTAACTGCTGTCTCCCACAGATGATGATGATATAAATATATTGTGTCAGCTAGGAACACGTAAACCTGCAGTTCACCCCTTTTCCCACCATTATTTCTTCTCAACTTTAATCAAGAAGCTAAATAAGCTAAATTTTAACCATATGTCATGGTATTTTGATCCCGTCTGTGTTTAAGTCATGTTCTGTGCAGTTTTATCATGCGATTAATGCGTCAGCACTGATAAGGCCGGATGTCATCCTGCCTCCTCTTCCTGTTAAAATAACAGAGTAGCTGATCAGTGATAGTGGACAAACAGCAGACCTCATGCTGGAAACAGTCTCTCTGGTGTTTATCCCCTTTGCTCGCCACACACAGAGGATGAGGTTACAAAACACAACACACAAAAATGATGCAGCTGCTACCCGCTCTCCGTCCTTCACAGAGACGGGCATCGTAAAGGACAAATGGATGGCTGGAGGCGGTAAAATGTGTTTACTGACTTGCATTAAAGGAATGGAGATGATTATTGTGCATAACAGCGCAGACAGATGAAATCCCTGCAAGTATTGGGTATCAAAAAAGTCCAGGAGGGAAGGAAGAGAGGCTGTTGACGTGAGGTTATTTACAACGAGAGAAATGTTTTCAGCCGATTTCCCCATCCTATCCCTGTCCCCCCGGAGGGAAATGTCTCCCACACGCTGATGTTCATTTCCCTTTCTGGAGAAAACAGATGGGGGTTACTTTTACTTTTGACTCCTGCGTGTGTGTTGATCCCAGCTACAGCCAGTCAAGTTAAAACCCCATTTGTTGACCAGGGAACATCTCACTGACCACCGACTGAGAAATGTGCTGAATTTGCTCTTCACCATTTCCTCTAACTGAAAAGCTGCTGTCAGAGGCAGCGGTGAACACCTAAAGGAAATCTGCAGAGTATTATATCGACCGCAACGAGCCCACTGTTCGATTACAACTATGAGGGTGTCAGCAGGATTTGTCATGTTACACAGTTAAATTATGGTTTTCACGACATGTTAGCACGATTCGAAGGAGAAAGACATTTTCTCACTAAACTGAGATTACTAAGCACAGTGGAAGTCAAGTCAAGTCAAGTCAAGTTTATTTATAGAGCACATTTAAAAACAACCAAGGCTGACCAAAGTGCTGTACAGTAAATACAGATAAAAATACAATAGAACACAATTTCGTAATAACACCTCGCTGATAAAAATAAAATAAAAATATATAAAACAAATAAATTAAACCTTTCTAAAAGCCAATGAAAAGAGGTGAGTTTTAAGAGCGGTTTTAAAAGTTTCTAGGCTTTTGGAGAGTCTGACGTGAGGAGGTAAACTGTTCCACAGTCTGGGTGCAGCCACAGCAAACGCCCTCTCTCCCTTTGTCTTTAATTTATACCTGGGAACATCTAAAAGCATCAGGTTGGCTGACCTCAAAGATCTCCTGGGGCGATAAGTTCTAAGGAGTTCTGACAGGTAAGAAGGTGCAGTGCCATTTAAAACCTTAAAAGCCAGCAATAAGATTTTAAAATCAATCCTAAAGGCAACTGGGAGCCAATGGAGAGAGCAGAGAACCGGAGTGATGTGGTCTCTTTTTTTTGAACCGGTCAACAGGCGAGCGGCAGCGTTCTGCACCAGTTGAAGGCGATGTAGACAGGAACGATCTAGGCCAGCATAGAGGGAATTGCAGTAGTCTAGCCGTGAAGTAATAAAAGCATGGACCACTCTTTCTAGATCGTTCCTGCAAAGGTAAGACTTGACTTTGGCTAAAATCCGCAAATGATAAAAAGATCCCTTAACTACAGAGCTGATTTGTTTATCAAGTTTAAAAGCATTGTCAAAAATAACACCAAGACTCTTAATGGAAGAAGTGCAATCGGAGGTTAGGGGTCCCAAAAAGTCAAGAGAGAAGTTGGGATCTTTAGGAAGCCCAAACACAATGACTTCAGTTTTGCTTTCATTAAGGTGTAAGAAGTTAAGAGTCATCCAAGTCTTAATGTCAGACAAGCAGGAGAGTAGCGGCTGCAAAGAAACATTGCAGTTCAACCTCAGAGGGAGGTAGATCTGAATATCATCGGCAAAGATGTGGAAGGACACATTATGTTTACGGAGCACATCGCCCAGAAGGAGCAAGTACAGAATAAACAACAGGGGGCCTAGTATGGACCCCTGAGGTACGCCACAGGTTAAAGGAGCTCTGGGAGATGACAGTTCACCAAGGTGAACAGAAAAACTCCTATTATTCAAATAGGACTGGAAAAACTTTAAGACAGTGCCCTTTAAACCGACACAATGTTGAAGGCGGGATAGCAGTATGTTGTGATCAACAGTGTCGAAGGCTGCTGTCAGGTCCAGGGTTACTAAGACAGCAGCACAACCAGAGTCAACAGTTAAAAGCAAATCATTAAAAACTCTCAGAAGGGCGGTTTCTGTGCTATGCCGAGCTCTAAAACCAGACTGGAACTTCTCATAGAGATTGTTATTGTCAAGAAATAGCTGGAGCCGCGTGAGGGCGGCTCGTTCCAGTACTTTAGACAGAAAAGGGAGGTTGGAAATGGGCCTATAGTTAGAGAGTAGGGATGGATCTAGATTAGGCTTTTTAAGGAGAGGTTGAACAACAGCGTGCTTGAAGGGTGTTGGAAAACAACCAGAACTGAGGCAGGCATTGATCAGGACCAGAAGGAAAGGTCCGACTGAGTCCAGAACCTGCTTCAGAAGCCGAGAGGGGATAGCATCGGTGGAACAGTTGGTAGTCTTAACCTTGCAGACTATTTCATGCAGCTGAGAGAGAGAGATTGGTTCGAACTGATTAAAGGCAGAATGGCACAAAGACAAAACACAGGGATTGGAAGGTGAAGATGGAATGACAGACTGCAGGGAGGAAATCTTGTTTACAAAGAACTTTAGAAAGTCATTACAGAGGGTGGCAGAAGGTGTGAGGCTGGTGGATGTGTAAGGATTTACAATGGAATTTAAAACACGAAACAGAGTCTGAGGTTTATGGACACTACTGCTAACCAGGTTTGATATGTAGGAGGACTTGGCCTCTTTAACGGCTTTCTGATAGGTTGAAAGAGAGTCTCTGAGGATATTAAAAGAAATGTGCAGCTTGTCCTTTTTCCATTTTCTCTCAGCACACCTACAGGTGCGCCTGAGAGCACGAACAGAGTCTGTAATCCAGGGTTCAGCGTGAGCTTTGGGACGGAGTGTTTTTAGGGGAGCGATGAGGTCCAAAATAGAAGTACATGTTGAGTTGAAAAGAGCAGTTAAATCTTCTGCACACAAGGAATCAATCCAGGAAGCGCAACTCTACTGTCACTAGGAGACAATATTAGGAGACAACAACTGGAAATATTTGTGGGGACAATCACTCGTCTTCCTTTTAGAAAAGGTTCAAAGAAAACAATACAAACATCCCCGGACATGAAATTACTTTCAGCTGTTACTGAGTCAGAGTTGTGCATTTTCCCATCAAGTAGTTTAAACATTTGTATTTTTCCATTCGCCCATCATTCAAAGTTTCTCTTTTTTTATACAAATTAAAACTCACCACTGCCATTTATGCATAAAGATATTCAAGATGTTCCAAGCCACAAACATCTTCTACAGAAAACAAACCTCAGGATCACAACAATGCACGAAATAATCCGCAACCTCATCTCATCTTTTACAAACCGCACGCACACAAAACAATATGACCTTTTACAACTCCAGTGCTGTGTGCCATCAAATCTCCCCACAGCACTGAGTCTGGCTTTTTTATCCAGCATTTTTATTACCGTCAGCAAATAATCTTGAAGATGAGATTTAAACGCTCAGCCCAAGGGGGGTACGCGGTGCAAAGTTCTCTAGTTTGTCCTTGTAGAAATGCTGAAAATGTTTCATACATGTGAATGTCCATGCTGGGAAGAGACTCAAGGGGTAACAATTAAGGTGACAACCAGTCTATTTAGTTTATTCTTGAAAAAGAAAAAAGAAAAGAGAAAAAAGAAAAGAGAAAAGAGAAAAGAGAAAAGAGAAAAAAGAAAAGAGAAAAAAGAAAAGAAAAGAAAAGAGAAAAAAGAAAAGAAAAGAAAAGAAAAGAAAAGAGAAAAAAGAAAAGAAAAGAGAAGAAAAGAGAAAAGAGAAAAAGAAAAGAGAAAAGAAAAGAAAAGAGAAAAGAGAAAAAAGAAAAGAGAAAAGAAAAGAAAAGAGAAAAGAGAAAAAGAAAAGAAAAAAGAAGAGAAAAAAGAAAAGAAAAGAAAAGAGAAAAAAGAAAAGAAAAGAAAAGAGAAAAAAGAAAAGAAAAGAAAAGAAAAGAAAAGAGAAAAAAGAAAAGAAAAGAGAAGAAAAGAGAAAAAAGAAAAGAAAAGAAAAGAGAAGAAAAGAAAAGAGAAAAAAGAAAAGAAAAGAGAAGAAAAGAGAAAAAAGAAAAGAGAAAAAAGAAAAGAAAAGAAAAGAGAAGAAAAGAAAAGAGAAAAAAGAAAAGAAAAGAGAAGAAA